TTATGTTTACACGAAAACTAACAGAAATGGTAAAAAGTAGAATGCAAAATGAGTGTGTGATTTTAGATTGCAGAGGAGACTTTAGAAAAATTTGCTTGTGATTTCAGGCCACGCCCCAGACTTCTGGGCCTATCAGCTCACTTCTCTTCAGCCTTAGGGGCAGAAGACTTTGAAGAGCATGACGGTGACCACGTCACTGCCTCCTTCCTGAGGACTCAGCCACGAGCGCTCCTTTCGTTCATCTGCATGTAACCGTGCCCCACCGCATACGATGCACACGGCGTTTTGTTGGAAAGGACATGGCTCCGAAGTTAAAAGGATCTGCCGAAATAATTGTTTCAGCTAGAGTTTAAAAACCATCAAACAAACTAGTCTGACTCAATTCGTTACTCCAATTTTGAAGGAGCATATGCAGTCCTGGCTTCCTGCTGTTCTGTCACGAGCGAGGCAGGGAGAAGAGTGGCACGAACGGCCACCCGTGGTCTATAGACGCTGCGTCATTCCTTTCCTTTGCCCTTGTCAGGAGCCCTGCCCCACACAGAAATGGACACAAGATTCCCGGCACGTTAGAAGATCCCCTACATAATTATTACTGACCCGGATTCTAGAACCCTAGTGACGACTGCTCCCAGTTTCTGGTTTTCAGATACACAGGACAAATGCCTCCATGACCTTTAAAGTCTGCGAGGTCAGCTACTCTACCCGGCTGACACCGAACTGGTCTCTGATCTGTCTTCATTTGCATTATCCTACTTTCCGAAGAATTAGTCCCTTTTCTTTCATCCATTTGACCCAACAGTTCCCCATGTTCTTTGTGTCTTTATCACAGAACCGGTTCTCTCTCTCCCTCTCTCTCTCTCTCACCTCACCTTACAAACAACAGCAAACAGTTTGATTCCAAGGGATATTCAGCTTCCTGTAATCAGTGTTCTCAAGAGTGTGGCATATTAAAGATACTTCATGCTGCATTTCCCCGTGAAAAGAACACAGATCCTAGAGATGAGTTCACTCAACTTATCCGAGTAGCTTATTACTGCAGAGTACAGCATGGAAATAATCTGCAGAAAACTTCAAACATTTTAAAAGACACTGTTCACCCAGTAATTAAAATCAAGATGCCACAGGAACATGTCAAATTTAAAAAAGAAATCACTGACATGGTGTTTACACTACAAATTTCACTCACCATATGTATCACCTGTTTGTTTTATCTACTCAAACCACACTGAAAAAAGGGTTAGAATAAATCAACAACTGGAGGTTACTCAACTAAGAGCTTGGGGAACCAAGCGCTGTATTCATGGTCACTTTTGCTTTTTGGATTCATCAGCCACTAGTGGCCCAAGTGCAGACTTCGGCCTAGGACTAAGCAAGCAGAGTCTGGCTTATGTGGTGACTCTGGGATCATGTTTTCCTGTCTAGACCACGGAGAGCTGATCTACATCCAGACAAAGCCTGTCTATTTTAGAACCAGAATAGAACACAACCTGCTCCAAGAATACAGGACTGGAGGTAGGGAAGACTAATTTGAAAGAGATAAACAAAGGGGAAGACAATGAAACCAAGGAACAAAAGTGCTCTGGCACTGGGTCCACGTGGGCTCACTGGAAAATTCTGAAAGGATACTTTTTCCTACTACCAACTTGTATGACCTTCCTGCCCAAGTACAGAAATTGATGCTGGAGGATGAGCAGATGTCACTGAATGTACCAACATGAGACCTAAATTTTATCCAAGATAAAATAGAGGAGGGTGCATACAGCCTGTTTTAGGGGTACAAGAATAGTGGCTTAGTTCCTCAAGTTAAAAAAAATATATTTTAGCATATATATTTTAGTAGGGGAACGTATTTACCCTTTTAAGTAGCAATTGGCTTTGAAGCTTCGGTAACAAAGCTGTGAATAAGCACTTTCCTTTAACGTCTTACAAGATGAGACTGTATGGAGAGAACAAGCTAGTTAAATATACCAGGGCCTGTCCCTCTTTAAATCATGTTACCTGCTCAGGTTTTATAACTGCAAGGATCTTAATTTATGATATACTTTATAATTATGGCACTTTACTTTCAAGAAGCAATAGGAATATAATCTAGGGTTATTAACTCAACAATGAAATTTTAGTATAGGCCGAGTGTTTCAACTGAGGATAAAAATTATCTCTTTTACATTAAAAACATGCTAATTTAGAGCACAGTTTGCGGTGAAGAGGCGCACAGGTGTTTCATCACTTGAGATGCAGCAACTCTTTTTACCAAGAATTTTCTTGGTTTAAATGTGTGTACCTGCTTACACAGCAATTTAAAATATTCTCATGTGAGACAATGACATTTCAGCTCGAGTTCTAAAACAACAGATCTGCTGCATTTTCGACACTAGCTGCCCAGGGCTGCAAAACGGACGCTTCTGTATATAAAGGATGCGAGATTGTGCCCACCGCCCCTCCCATCCCAGAGCAAACCCCGACAACAAAACCTCTATCTGCTGGTAATGGAAGCGCTGCGTGGTAAAGACCGGATGTTGTTAACATACGGAGAACGCTAAGATATAGTAGCCGGGATAAAAAGAAAAATCAAGGAACAAAAGAAAGAAAACCATTAAAAAAGCAATACCAGGGGGCGCCTGGGTGGCGCAGTCGGTTAAGCGTCCGACTTCAGCCAGGTCACGATCTCGCGGTCCGTGAGTTCGAGCCCCGCGTCAGGCTCTGGGCTGATGGCTCGGAGCCTGGAGCCTGTTTCCGATTCTGTGTCTCCCTCTCTCTCTGCCCCTCCCCCGTTCATGCTCTGTCTCTCTCTGTCCCAAAAATAAATTAAAAAAAAAAAAAAAAAAGTTGAAAAAAAAAAGCAATACCAGAAGTAAAACCGTTAAAGGAGCGATAAAGTCAAACAGAGCGAAGGCAACAGGGGAAGGCGTTACACAGATTTACAAGGCGCCGACCGACTTTAGAATCCAGGAAGGCAAGCAAGGGTCTCGGCGAGGATTCGGTTTCACAGAAGAAGAGTCAGATTTTGCAAAATCTAGTTAAAGCCTGAAAAGTTTAAATGTCTATCTGTTATCCGTACTTTAAACCAGATACTTGGGGGGAAAAAAAAAGTCTAATCTACAATTTTGAGTAAGAAAACACTAAAAGACAGGTGCAGAAAGTAAGACCAGCAAACGGGAGGTTGTTCTTGCGACTCCTCCCTTCTCGAGCTGGTGCCTCACCGGGCACGGTGCACAGAGACCAGTTTAATAGGTCCCTGTCATAGCACAGCCCCCGTGTCCAGTAATGGGCAGGACAGGAGCCCTGGGAAGCTTAGCTGTCAACCTCGTGCCAGTGCTGGAGGCAAAGAAGTATTTGTTTACGTAACAAATTTCCAGATTTTGATGGTCGTCAACCAGAATAGCTGCTGCATATAATCGCGGCTGAACCACATCAGGAGTGTATTAATTACAGCTAACGTTACAGACTTCTTCCTGTGTGCCACTCCTGTTCCAAATGTTCACATGGAGTATTTCACTCATCCTCACAGCAATACTGTAAAGGAAGGACTAGTCTTCCCTCAGTTTACATATGAGGAAATGAAGCAGTTAAGGAACTTTTAGCTGGAATGAAATTCCAGGTCTGTTTCCTTTCAGAGCCCTGCCTCTTCACCCTTGTGAAAGGTACTATATGGAAAGCAGAAGTAAACTATGTCTATGAGCTTATAACCCATGTTCTAAAATGCCAGTGATGTATGAAGTGATAGTGTGCTCTAGGTAAAATACATCATGGCCCAAAGCATGCACATACTTAGAAAATGACTTCTATATACCTCAACCATGTAAATGGATAAAAACCACTGTAGTGAAAGATTATGCATGCTGCTTAAAGTGTCTTCAGTGGGGCGCCTGGGTGGCTCAGTCGGTTGAGCGTCTGACTTCAGCTCAGGTCATGGTCTCACGGTTCACGAGTTCGAGCTCCACGTCAGGCTCTGTGCTGAGGGCTCAGAGCCCAGAGCCTGCTTCGGATTCTGTGTCTCCCTCTCTCTCTCTCTGCCTCTCCCCTGCTTTCTGTCTCTCTCTCTCAAAAATAAACAAACATTAAAGAAAATAAAGTGTCTTCAAACGTCTACATAATTCCTTAAATCTGATACATAAAGATCATAACAGAAAGTGCCTGGAGGGTGGCCAAGAAAGATGACTTTGGTTCCTTTTTAGGAGATTAAAATGTGCTCCAAGTCTATAACCACGGAGTTATTTCTTACTAAGCACAAAACTGACGATCAGAAATGCTAAGATACAAATGAAAAAACACATTATATGTAAATAACTTCTTACTTTTGCACCAAAAATCATGAATAAGAAGTCGTTACGTGGCTTTCATCCTGGCAGGCTGGTTTCATCCTATGATCTACCCTGAGGCAGAAGTCACGAACTGCAGACTGTTTCTGCCACCAATTTACGGTCTTCATGGACACAAATCCCTTTGTTTTTCAGCACCTCACATCAGATGGGAATAACAGCTCTTCTGCTAGTTTCATTAAATTGAAATGACTGTTTGGGGATGGGAACGATGCTGGATCTATCAAGGGAATTAGTACTAACTGGGTGCTGTGCTGGTGGATACGATTTAATCGCGTGAGTCTGGGGGAGGAGCATGCAGTTTGTTAACTTTTTCAAACTGCTGTCAGGCATTTGAGTGACCTACTCTTTGAGCCTCATAACCACCCTGGAAATAAGGAGGACAAGTATCGTTAGATGGGAAAGAGGTGACTATATGGTTAGCCTCAATTCACGCAGCTAGTTATGGACAGAGCCCAGAGTATCACTTTCCCAACTCCTGATCCTGTGTTTTTTATTTATTGCTGTTGGTTTTTCCCTCTGCTGACAAGGCAGCGTAGCCCAGTGGTTGGAAAAGATGGGGCAACGTCAACCGAGAGTCTTCAATCCAACAAAGGTGCAGACATCCTGAACTGCTGAATTAGAGAAAGCAGTTCTCTCCTGTGACCTGCATCTTGGAGGCTACGGAGTCAGACCACATACCTTGATTTCTGGGAGCTGCATCACTTCAGGAAAGACTTCAATGCAATTAGAATGTGCAATCACGGTGTGCATACGCCTGCAATTCATGACAGTGGTCGGGATGGCTTTCAGTTTATTCCCACTGACATCAATTTCTTCAAGTTCCTCCAGTTTTGCCATTTTACTAAAGAAAGGAAAATCCAAGGGGGGAGCAGGTCGTAAAATAATCACAAGGCAATTAAAAAATAATACATAACAAGAATAAAAAGGGAATTTACTATGAACCTAAAGATTCTTTAAAGATTCACTGTATAATATAACTGTGTGTTAACGATACTGGAATTAAAAAATAAAAGATTCACTTGTAATCATCATTTTAACAAACAAGACCCGGGCACCTGGGTGGCTCGGTCAGTTAAATGTCTTCATCTTGATTTTGGCTCAAGTCACAATCTCATGGTTGTGCGATCAGGCCCCGTGTCAGGCTCTGCACTGACAGCACGGAGCCTGCTTGGGATTCTCTCTCCCTGTCTCACTGCCCCTCCCCTGCTTGTTCTCTCTTTCTCCCTAAAAAAATAAAAAATAAAAAAATTTTAAGACCATTTTCACTATTGGTTTTGAGTATCAAAGTAGTTTAACACCTCCTTTCCTAGTATAAAACAAAAACTATTAACTTCAACTGTTCAAATTAGCAAAAAAAGAAAAATGGATGTCTCTTTCCTCTTAAAACTCTGTGTGTGAATTAAGTTATCCTGGCAACAATCGCTTTGCTATGTAGCTTAGTCTCAACGCCAATAAAAACCCTACTCAAGTGGGTAAGTTAGCATTAATCCACTGGAAGTGCTTTAAAAAAGCTCAGTTTGAGGGGCATATGGGTGGCTCAGTGGGTTAAGCATCTGACTTCAGCTCAGGTCATGGTCTCACAGTTCCTGAGTTCAAGCCCCACATCGGGCTGTGTGCTGACAGCCCAGAGCCTGGAACTTGCTTCAGATTCTGTGTCTCCCTCTCTCTCTGCACCTTCCCTGCTCACAGTCTGTCTCTCCCTGTCTCTCAACAAATGTTAAAAAAAAAAAAAAAAATCAGTTTGAGAGAAAGACTTGTCTTTGTATTGGCTCTGAAAGGTCACGGGAGGCAGCGTAGCCCAGGGCGTTTGCTCATATGAAGACATGCTTTCCCCAAAACCCCACTCCCCAGATTCCTGTGACATCATTTGTGATGACAAGATGGTGGGAGTACCATCTGGACCATCTCTGGACCTGGCAGGGCCCAAATTCAAACCGTGCCCAAAAGAAATTCCTTTCACCTCGTGTTAAATATCTGCCAAGGAGGACTCTTGCTAACCTTACTTTAATAACACGTCCTAATACATTGAACACTTTTGTTTAAGAATGTCTTTTATTGTGGTGGCGTCCAAGTCCTGATTTCAGCTAAGGTCATGATCTTGCAGTTTGTGAGCTCAGGCCCCATGCTGGGCTCTGTGCTAACACAGCAGAGCCCATTGGGATTCTCTCTCTCCTATCTCTTTGCCCTTCCCTCTATCTCTCTTGAAATAAATGAACGTTAAAAACAAAAAACAAACAAAAACAAACAAACAAAAAAAAAAACGGTTAAAAGAATGTCTTTTATTTTTCAGTCTTAATCTATAGTTGATCTTAGTAATATTAACCAATAATTATAGTAACCAAATAAAGAAAATTTGTTAGGGTTTCTTGCCTTTTCTGCAAATGTGGAGGGAAAAAGCCATGCACCTCTATAATCCTGTAACAGCATCTACCACTCCTCTGACCCTTTCTCAACTACTGGTGATGCTGGGCTCCAAAAACTGCAGGATTTCCAGTAAGTATAACTCAAACTTTGAATCCTGTAGTTTACAATTGTTGGTATCTCCTCTGTTTGTTATGGTTTCATTTGTCATAATAAGCCTTCAAAAAAATTTAGCAAGAAATCCTTTTATTTACTTTTCCTTCTGTCATCTCTCAAATATAAAATTTATCTTATTTATCTTGCAAATTAATATATTCCAAAGATACAGTAAGAACTAAGTTTTCATTTTATGACATCAGGTCTTTTAATATCCAGAACAGGAATCAGGATATGCTACAAACAACACTGTGTACACAGACTGTGAAGGGATTGAGCTCCGACTGCCTGAATTTGTGAGACTATTACTTGAATATGCTGTTATCATATTTGGAAAGAAATATGGAGAAATCCATGAGTAATGGGGCATGGAAAATGACCAAAAGTATAGAAATCGGGCCCAAGAAAGAACTTAAACAAGTTTCCATTCCTCCACTTACAAAGAAGGTGACCAATGGACTAGACCGCTGGAGCATGTTCTTTAATTTGGGAAACATTTGTGGAGTGTCTGCCCCAGACCAGACCTCATATATACACGGGACTGAAGGTGACAAATCACAGTCCTGACTCTTGAGGAACTTGGGGTCTTTAGGGGGCACCTGTGCTATATCACAGTCCATAGGGAGACAGAAATTGTAGCAAAATGCATTTTTATGAGGTACATAAAAAATTCTCTGTATGTAGGGTGATTACAACTGGCATGGGCCACTGGAGGCTGCTATCGAAATCTGAGTTAGTGGTAGTTTCTCCTTCAGGGCTTATTTGCCTCTCAAATAGGATGAGGAGTCCTTTCAGAGATATTATTGTTAGGTGATTGCCATGTTTTCTTCCAAAAATATCATCTCCTCATTCCACAGTAAAATACTATGTACACAGTAAAAGTACATGGAAGTAAAAAAAAAAAAAAAAAAGTACACAGAAGTAAAGTACATAGAAGAAAAAAGAAGGTTTAATCATTAATATCAAACGAGAGGAAACAATACAGAAATAAATATGTACAACAACAAAAAAAAACCCAGAGCAATGCTTTAAGTCCATGCATATTTGGCCTTCCTCACTTAGTGAGGTTTCGATAGGCTCGTAGCCTTGAGGGCAGCAGAGGGAAGCCGTGCCACTATTTCTTGCTCTGCCCGGTGCTCAGCTGGAGCTAGCAGCAGAATACCAGAAGGGGCTAGCGGTCGCCTCTGTGCTGGGCGTGTGTGTGTTCCAGGTCCTAACTTGTGAGATGGACAAACGCCAGTGACGCACGTGGAGTATTTCCTTCGTGGCAGTCTGGGTGTGTAGATTCACCCCAAGTTAGACACCGTGCCACTGCCCCCCCCCAAATTACAAGTTCAGATTACAACAGAATTAAAAATGGAATATTCTGAGAGCCAGAAGTTGTTTGTAATATGACATGGTGTCTCTGGTCACATAGACAGGCCACCGTGGCTTTTTATACCACAGCACAAATACAAAGACTGGTAGTTAGTTAAGAACCGCCAGGTTCCTGGTTTACGTTCCAATTCCCACACACCGTATTAGGCTAATTAAACAGAATAATAATTTGGTTAAAAAGAACCAAAAAGAAAAAACATGCCCACGAAATAACAATACCTTATTTCAAAATCATAAGAATGCTATAGTGATTGGGTCCGTGGATACATTCACAGGAGAAAAGCGAACACATTTCTCTTTAGGGAAATGTTAATCACAGCTGATATGAAAGACAACTGTGAACTCAGGAGGGACAAGCTTTACTTTATCTGGGAAATAAACATTTTAGCTTTTGCCTTTCCACCTGTGAACCCACTTTCAGAAATGCACTGGAGAACACTTTGTGACCTTCCGTTACCTTGCTGGAAAACTCTGAAGTCGATTATAGGCCATGTGAAGGATCTTTAGGTGGGGGTGCCCTGTTAACAAGGGCACACATTTATCTGTGAGGCTGTTATTTGTCAAATACAACTCCTGCAGGATGCTGCTCGTCTCTTCCGACAGAGTGGCTGGCGGAAGGGTTTCCAGTTTGTTGGCAGACGCATTCAGGAATCTCAGGCTACAATGACAAAATGCAACAAAATCCCACATAAGCCAGAGCTCTGGTCCAGAATCCTCAACACATCTGGAATTTTTCTGACTGATACCTGGCGTGTTCTAAACTGGGTTTAGAAACAGGCATTTAAAAATAAACCCTGGCTTTCCTCGCCTGCATATAGATACGTGACCCCACGCTCTGTGATGAACACACTATCTATACGTGCTAGACACAAAAAGGTAAAAATCAATGTTTACGGAAGCACCAAGGTGAGAGGAGGGGATTCATTCTACAGCTGGTAGGGAGTGGAAGGGAAGGTGGCATGGGAAAGTTAATATTCTGTCTTCAGGAAGAGAAAAACAATTGCCTATTTTTAAATAAAAGAGCCCTTAGGGTAACAGGACAATCAGACATGAGGTCACAATACAACTAAATCACACGGTGAGTGTGATGCCCAAACCGCGTTTTGCAGACACGTGTTCGCGACTGCGGCATGTGCTCCATCCACTCTCAAGCTGTAGCCCCCGCAACATGGAGAGTGTTCAGCCCGTCGGACTCTCCCCTGTGGTTACCAAGGTCAAAGCTGCCTTGCCTCCCCACCTGGAAAAGCCTGTTAATGAACCACCTTTCTCTTGTTTCAAAACCACCTAGGTTTGAAACTTTCGGCATCCAATTCAGGACTATTCTGCCATATGTTAAGAAAAAAAAAAAGAAAATCTTCCTTAAAAAAAAAGAATATGCAATATGAGGTATGGCAGTTTTTAATCCTGGATAAAAAGAAGGCTTTGTATTCAGGAGTCATCCCCAGGACTGTCATGCCAAGCTGTCAATCCACTAATACTCCCCAATCTTGCAACCCCCCCACACATACTTATACACACTGGCCAACTCCACTACTTGTCTAAGGAAAAGCAGTATCCCCAAAATAGAACATTTTCCATTAAAGAAACACGTATTCAGTTGACATTAAAAAAAAAAAAAAGGGAAGCTAGAAAGGGCTGTACAGACCATAAATAGTCATGGGAAATTATAGTCGTGTGTGCCACACGGAAGAAAATAAAGGCCATTCATGCAGTTTCTGAAACTAGTTTTGAACTAGGAAGGAAACCAATTTCAGCACCATAGTTCTTTAAAGTATTTTTACGAGTCTGTTTCGTTGGGTCCCATTTATATCACCTGACTTAAATACCCTGTTAAGAATTTCTTCAGGATAAAAGTAGAAAAAATAAAAATGCATTGCCCTAAAATATCATGGACTGGGGTTGGGGGGGGGTAAATTATATGACAATCTCATTAAAATATAACTCTCTAGGGAATATATCAGTTATGGACACAAGGGAAGAGAGAATTCATGAAGGTTCACCTGTCTTCAGGCCAGAAAAAAGAGGGAACACGGTTGGGAAAGGAAAAAAGACAGACTAGTGAATGCTCACCTAGAAAGCTGTCAGAGGGGCTTTGAAACCCCTCCCACCATGTGAATGAGGAGGAGACCGTGATTTCCAAAAAGATCCGTCCTCTCATCTTGTTGAAATTTGCTGCAGTGAAGGAGCCAAATACTCTTTTATGGGAAAGTAAGGGGGAAAAAACCCCTTACATCCTACCCCTCCAGGAAATGAAACTAAGTTAAAACTACATGGGTTGGTTCCAAAGGATTTGATTTGAACTGAAAGGGCCTGGTTGAATCACCTTGTTAGCTAACGGCCAGAGAGCAGACAATCGGGCTAAAAAGTTTTTGATTAAATGGACTTGGGAAAACTCAATTCAATACCCATCGTTTTACAAAAATTCCTAAAGCACTGAGTTTCGCCTCAAGTCAAGATGATGTGATAACCTCAAGCTCCTTCCCTTATAGATTTTGTGATAACTGTAGAAAACACGGTCTCGCGTGCTGAGAAAAGTTTCGTCCCTATGATCCTCTTCACCAGGCAACCCTCTTCTGCTAAAGAGAGAAAAGGCAGTAACATAGGACTGCTTTCCATTCATTTGTAAGGTGCTATGCTGAGGCCACAGCTCTTTCCTGTTTTCTGTTTCATTTGATGCTCCCATCAGCCCAGAGATGGCTCTCATATTTCACAGAAGACAGAAACTCAAGCTGAGAAAAGTCAAATTACTTGGCAATTGTTAAAAAGTAATTAATGGCAGAGCCAGAAATAAAACCCAGACCTCATTAATCTTCAGAGTCCGCAATTCCCTGACACGTCTCTCCAAAATTCAAATGTTAAAAAACAGTACTAATAACACATTTGCTGAGGACATTTTCATAGGCCCTCCTCGTGAAAAATGCTGGAGGTCGAGCAGGACACCTGCGGGCAGTGTAGCGACCAAATGCACACAGCACTTCAAGATAACTCAGATTCAAAAACCATTCTTAGCAGAAAGTACAGAAGTTGTGCAGAAAAAAGTCATGTACGGCTTCTGCCCTAAAGCATCTGGAAGGCTGCCCACAACAGCAGGGAGAGACAAATCCACTTCCTGCTTCTTGAGCAGTCGCTCTGTTCCTGACACGTTCTGTCCATCTGCTCTGGCTCATCTAGGTTCTATATTGTTTTGTTTTTGTTTGTTTTTCAGTAATTTCCAGCACACCCTTACATTTTACAGCCAAGTTCTGCCACTGAAGCCAAGCACGGGATTTGGTGGTGAAACCGATTCCCCTATTTGTAGGTGCACCAGGCTGCCTGCACTTTAACAATGTTTTTTTGGAGATCCGGCCCGGGACTTGTACTCTATTAAAAATCCAAAAGGTTGAGTCTGAGCCCAGCAACTTTCCTACTTTTAGACAAAGACTTGATTTCTGGCCCCCAAATGTCCCAGGAAGTGCGTAACCCTCTAAATTCCTTATCATCTGTCTGCACAACATAACACTTTTACCAACTTCATCATCTTCATAAGGTTGGTAGCTCGTACAGGGCTTCCAAACTTTCATGATAGTAACCGAGAGTACAAAGGACATTTTACGTGACCACCCAACACAGATGCAGCACACACACGTGTAATTAAAAGTTTCATGAAACAATCACTACTTAGTCTCACTTTATCCTGCAGTGACATTTTCCATCCTACTTAATTTCTTAAAGTGCTGGGAGGAGCCCACTAAATTAATGCCATACTCCACTCTTCAATTCGAAAAACAAACCACAATTATTGTCTGGCGATACCACCTAACAGTGCTGATTCCAAGTGGAGAAAAAGCGCATGCAGTCTAACAGAACTATTGTTTCAAAAGGTAGGGAAAGCTGCCTGGCTTGGGCGCTAAAGGCCACGAGGCTACGAGGTAAAGGAACAAAAGGTATACAGATGAAAGAACTGTTGGACAAGAACACGAAAAGAATTAGTTTTAAAAATAAGTACAATTATAATTAACAGTGATGCAATGCTACCGGTTCATCTACAGACCTTCGCCCACCTTCGTCCATTATCCCACTGACGTCCTCCACCTGGTCCAGGACCCAATCCGGGATCCCACCTTGCATTTCGTCATCGTGCTTCCTTAGCCTCCTGTAGTCAGTTTTATTTGTCTTCAACAACTTTAACATTTTTGGAAAGTACTAGACAATTATTTTGTAGAAGGTCTCTCAATTTACATTTGTTTGATATTTTATCATTACAACACGGTGGTACGTTTTTGGCAAAAACACAGAGTAGTGATGTTGCACCCTCCTATCGGAAGGTACACGATTCTCGAATTCAATGCCCAGATACACTGATTAGGTCAGTCAGGTTAAGGCTTCAAAAATCTGTGGAATTAAGGATTCTGATGATCAGCCACACTGAGACAGCAGAACTGAGGTAAGGGCCAGGAATCTGCATGTTTAGTAAGTTACCCAGGGCATTCTGAAGATACACTTTGAGAAACACTTTAATTTTATTCTCAAAACACCAGTACTTCACCAGTTAGCTCCCTTCACTTAAACAAAATAGTGTAGGCAACTTAGCTCTCAAAAATGCCAGAAATATCTGTCTTTGCCAAAAGGCACCAGTTGTCATGGTCAATTGATCACGCTCTCCAAATTCTCTGTTCCCGTTTAGTCCCGTTGATATTTACACATGTTCTGAGTCACTAAAACTTATGGTCTGTAATGTGACTAATACTCTCAGGGTATTTAATAATTACCATGTACTTCATCCGCACATACACTCTCCCCACTGCCCCCCTGAAAATACCTTGTACTGCTCCAACCACGGATAAAAACAGATCCTAATGTCCACCACAGCAGGAATCTACAACTGTCCTTTAAAGGGTCAGCTGTGACTTTGTTAACTAGACCAGCTGAATTCAGGAGCAGCTCTCCTGTGATCAAAAGATTATTCAGGTGTGAGATGGACGGGGAGGTGGCCATCACCAAGATTTCAGGAACAGAAGGGTGGTGGTCCCTCCTCCACTCGTTCCAGTGACCCAGGGGGACTGTCTACCCCACCCTGCCCAGTTGTTGATGAAAAACTGATTATCTGAAACTCTCCTGGGGGCTTCCATCGAGGGGATCTCCAACTCTAAGCAAAAAGAGGTAAGCTGGGAGATCTTGGCCAGTGAGATCTGGATTAGAATACTGCCAGTTCACCCCACAGAACAAAATCCCGCCCTCACCATAAGACACAAAGTCACAGCTTCTCAGCAACACAAGGTCCATAGCATCTCACATCTGTCTACAGTTTTCGACACAGCTGCCAGTGAAAAGCAAGTCAAAATAAACAAAACTCAAAGAGGCATACAGAGAGTAAACTCATAAGCTAACATTGCCGGTTCAAGCTATAAGAACTTTAATAAAATTGCTCTACAGTTTTCAGAGGAAGAGAGAGATATTACTAAAAGTCACCTAATTTAGGGGCGCCTGGGTGGCTCAGTTGGCTAAGCAGCCAACTTCAAGTCATGATCTCACAGTTCGTGAGTTCCAGTCCCACATCAGACTCTGTGCTGACCGCTCAGTGCCGGGAGCTGGTTTCCGATTCTGTGTCTCCCACTCTCTCTGCCCCTCCCCAGCTCTCTCTCTCTCTCTCTCTCTCTCTCTCTCTCTCTCAAAAATAAA